TTTCTATCGTTTAGTGCTCTTTTTATAGAGAGATTATTTTTATGATCACTTACTATGCCATATGTATTAACCATTCATTCTAGAATAGAAACCTTCTCAAGAGGAATGGCACTTTTCCCAAAATAGTAGGTGATTACATGACTTGTATGTAGACAACTTGCCTCTGTATTACTGTGTGAACATATTTCTAGACTGAATTAAGTGTATAGACATGAGGAGAAATAAGTAAAAGTATACCTACAGAACAGAAATTGTCTAATCTGCTTTTGATACTGGAAAGGTAGAAATCTATCCTTGTACCATGGCTGTGGTTTTGCAGAAATAATGCTTTAATATCAACCAAACAGATATACAAATGTGCTAATATTAATGATATTAAAGCACCTTAGAGAAATAAGATTCTGAAGAAAAGAGAGGCGTGGCCTGGAGGTTGTGGTGGGGAGTAAATTAGTAGAGGGCAATAGTGAAAGTTTCACAACTGGCATGAGGCCTGTGACAAGACTTGACTTGGAGGTTGTCCCAGCCAGGGAGTTGCAGGCACGGCTTGGCTGTGGGAGAGCAGTAGGAGCTAACTCCCTGGTGCCCTTCCATAGCTGAACTCCAATCCCAAAGTTTTAAAAGAAACACTGTTTACGAACACAGAGAGGCAGTCATTAACCATCCTCTCTAACAGTGCTCCACCCTCACGGCACTCTCTATTACCTTACTCAGTTCTATTTTCTTTATAGCACTTGATACAACCGAAATTACGGTCTTTAAATTTTATTTTCTGTGTGCCCCATTAGAATGTGAGCTCCAGGAAGGAACGGACTTTGCCTGTCTTGCTCATCTCCACATTTTCAGCAACCTGAACAAAATGAATATTTATTGAATAAACGAATGAGTAAAGAATGAGAATGGGAATAAGCTTTCCCAGGTTATCAGTCCCTTCCTGCTTTTCTTATTTACTCAGTCCAGCCTAGGTTCACGTTTTATCTTTTCCATAACATCCCTTTAATAGTTTCATCAGCCACCCTTGCACCTTTGATCCTTCTTTATACATTTCACCATACTTCCAAGGCAAACCCCACCTGTGTCTATCTTTCTGTCTCTTTCTCTCTCTCCCCACACATACACACATGCATATGCGCATGCACACACACACACACACACACACACACACACACACATATCTCTCTGTTCAACTTTTTCTACACCTATTCTCCTGATGGTGAAAACACAGAAAAACAACATTAAAAGGAAGTTATAATTATTGAGCAGCATCCATTAAGCATAAATATTATCTCATCATTGGTACAAACGCTCACAAAGAGGGTTTGAGACGAGGCCCTATTGTTACCTCCTGTTCAGTGCTTATCTCTCTCTATGCTCTGGGTTTTGTTCTTCTCCACTTTCACACAGAGCTTGATAGTGCATTACACGCTTTCCCTCCTGCATGTCTGACATGCTTCTCTCCTTTTGAATCTTTCCCATTAACACAGAAACACAGTCCAGTATTTACTCATTTAAAAAAAAAAATTCTCCTTTAGAGTAACTGCTGATGCATACAAACATTTCTTTTTGTGGTGACAAAAATGCTCTTAAATTGAATTGTGGTGATCCTTGTCCAAATCTGTGAACACACTAAAAACTATCATATGCTTTAAATGGGTGAATTGCAACATATGTGAACTATAGCTCAATAAAGCTGAAAAAATTCTCCCTTAAATTATTTTCTCTATTCACTGTCTTCATCTCCCATTCATAACACAATCCTCTCCCTTCTAAGCTATTTCTCTAAGATCACCAAAGACCTCTTTAAAAAATCAGTCAGCACTTTTAGTTCTTATCTGTTCAATCTTCTTTCAGATTCCAAACACACATATCAGTGACACGGGGTCATGTCACTAACCTTCAGTGGTTCCCTACTGCCTTATGATGCGGTTAAAATTGTTTTTTAAAGATAGGGTCTTACTCTGTTGCCCAGGCTGGAATGCAATGGCAGGATCATAGCTCAATGCAGCCTCCAACTCCTGGGCTCAAGCAATCCTCTTATCTCAGCTTGGACTATATGCATGTGCCACCATGCCCAGCTAAGTTATTTATCTTTTGGTAGAGATGATGTCTTGCTATGTTGCCCAGGCTGGCCTGGAACTACCAGACTCAAGCCATGCTCTTGCCTTGGCTTCTCAAAGTGCTGGGATTATAGTTGTGAGTCACCATGCCCTGCTGAAAATTATTTTTTATGGCAATTAAGGCTTTTGGCTCCTGTGTGCCTCTCTCTCATCTGTTCATCTTCAGTTCATTCCACATACACCATATTCTCTAGCCATCTCTTTTATCTATGTGCAGGAAGGGTATGTAGTTGCCTCTGTGTAGGTAACTTTTGCTCATGACTCTAGCCAATGATCTTATTCATCCTTCAGTATGGAGCTCCAGCCTCTCATTCTCCAGAAAACATGCCTAAATTCTGTCAGTTTGGGCTTAGACCTGTCCTGTGCTTGTGCATACATACATATATTTATCTCAGTACTGAATTCATCAGACTGTATGTTTGTTTACTTATACCTATTTTCCTATTAGGTAGTGAACTCTAGCTGAGGGAGGGAAGGGACTTGCCTTTCAACTCTTTAACCTTATTATATGATTTGGGTTTAGTAAAATGTTGTTGAAAAAAATGAATAAATTAACGACCTATTCATGTTTTCTGCTTTTTTGCCTCGCAATGAACTCAGCAATGCATCCACAAGGAAAGGATCTCTAATAACTTCTCTAGTGTTAACATTTTATGATTCTTTCTATGACATAATCAGTAGTTCATATTCCTTTTATAGTTGTGTTTTCTAACCCAGGGATTTAACTGTGAGCAACATAAGGGAAAGAACTAACACTTGCTGAGTACTTATGAGGGGAAAGGAACGATGCCAGGTTTACATGCATTATATGTCATCTCATCCTCTGTAGAGTGGGCATTATAGTATTGCTTCTATAAATAGGAAACACAGTCTGTGGAACACAACTAGTAGGCATCAGAACCGTGACTCAAATGCATATTTATTTGTTTCTTTGTTTATTCTGTTATATCACACTCCATTGTACTATAGGATTCAGCACTGGTAAATGGTATGCAACGGCTGCAATAAAAGATTTTCCCCTCCCCACCTTATTTTTAAGACAGGGTCACACTCTTTTGCTCAGGCTGGATTGCCATGGTGTAATTATGGCTAACTGTAGCCTTGACCTCCGGTGCTGAAGCGATCTTCCCACCTCACACTGCCCCCACCCCCAAGAGCTGGAGCTGTAGGTGTGTGCCACAATACCCAGATAATTTTTAAACTTTTTATGGAGATGGGGTCTCACTATGTTGCCTAGGCTGCTCTTGAACTCCTGGACTCAAGTAATCCTGACGTGGCCTCCCAAAATGCTGGGATTACTCGTGTAAACCACTGCGACTGGCCCCATTTATTTTAATGACATTCAGAAAGCTTTATGAATTAAATGTGCATATTTATTTTAATTGTGCTAAGTAACAAAGCAATATATTCTCATTTCAAGAACATCAAATACCTACCATACTTAGACCATCACAGGCCATGTGTATTTAAGGAATGCAAAATCTAATATAGAATATATATTACATGTATGTCTATATAATGTATAATATAAAAATAAATTAGTGGTGATGAGTGGAAGACTATCCAGTTAAGGCTTAATTTTCTCATAATTAAATACTTAGGGTTGTGGTGAAGAAAAGGAAGTCAAAGAAACTTAAAGAAAAAGTTTTAATGGTCTTTAGCAAAAGTTGATCATAAAAAATAAATATAAAAAAATTATTTGGTATGATGGTTCTTCAAAAAGTTAAACATGGAATTATGACATAATCCAGAAATTCCATTTCTGGGTATATATCCAAAAGAATTGAAAGTAGACACTTGAATAGATGATGGTCACACTGTTCCTAATAGCCAAAAGATGGAAACAACCCAAACTGCCCATTGATGTATAAATGGATAAACAAAATGTGGTATATACATACAATGGAATATTATTCAGCCTAAAGAGAAAGGAAATTGTGATACATTCTACAGCATGGATAAATCTTAAAGATATTATGCTAAGTAAAATAAGCTAGACACAGAAGGACAAATATTGTATGATTCCTCTTATATGAGGTATTCAGAGTAGTCAAATTTATAGAGATAAAAAGTGGAATTGTAATTGTACAGGAACTTGGGGAGGAAGGAATGAGGAGTTCTTATTTAATGTATAAAGAGTTTCAGTTTGGGAAGATACATTTCTTGAGATGGACGGTGGTGATGGCTGTACAACCATGTGAATGTTCTTGATGCCAGTGAACTGTAAACTCAAAAATGGAAAAATGGCCAAGGGCAGTGGCTCATGCCTGTAATCCAAGCACTTTGGTGGGCCAAGGCAAGTGGATCACTTGAGTTCAGGAGTTCCAGACCAGCCTTTTTGGTGAATGCTGCATTTGCCAAAACCATCTTTTAAGTGTTTTACTTGAGAAAATAAATGAAAAGAATAAAACAAGTTCAATAACACCTAACAACAAGTTAGATGACATACGAAAGATTTGGATGTCAACCCTCCCATTAACTTCTATGTGGTTATATACGTACTTAGGTATTACATATAAATATGTGTTTTATCACATTTCAATAAATGTATGCTCATAATCATATCTCTTTGAGGAATTATTACTATTTTCCTACTATTTTAAATCATGTGAGTAACCTCCAAAGGTATATAAAATTATAAATAAGATTATTGATACCTTAACAGGTTCAAATAGAAAGAGCTGCCCTTTTATATTGGGTCAAACATTTTGTTGGAAAGAACCTCTGGGTTCAAGTTCCTGCTAGGTCACTAATTGATAGGTTATTCTTTACATCTAGTTTCAGTTCCTTCATCGGTAAAATCAAAGGATGGGGGAGGTGTTATCTAGCTCCTTCTAGTTTAAATATACCTGCCTATAAGTTGCTTTCTCAGTTCAGATAACTTACCTCTCTCAACACAGGATCAGTTATTGAATTCAGATTGACAGCTCCTTCATAGGTTAAGTAATAGAACACATTGAGGGCCCGGGCAGCCTCTGGTCCTTGCTGTTTATAGCCAAAAATGAGATCAATCCATTGGTGAAGCTGACAGGAAACAAATTCACTCTCCAGGGCCTGAAAAAGGGTATAGATTGTATTACCATGCTGAATTCATTTTTAAAAATATAGAGAGACATTAGAACAAGCAGTAAAGTTTAACACTAACTTTACTTTGAACGAAGATTTTTTCAAAAAAAAAAATTATGGCCAGTTGCAGTGGCTCACGCCTGTAATCCCAGCACTCTAGCATCTGAGGTCAGGAGTTCTCGACCAGCTTGGCCAACATGGCGAAACCCCATCTCTATTAAAAAAGCAAAAATTAGCAAGGTGTTGTGGCACACTCCTGTAATCCCAGCTACTGAGGAGGCTGAGGCAGGAGAATCACTTGAACCCAGGAGGCAGAGGTTGCAGTGAGCCACACTACTGCACTCCAGCCTGGGCGACAAGGGTGAAACTCTGTTGAGAAGAGAAGAGGAGGAGAAGAGAAAGGGAAGGGGAAGGGGAAGGAAGGGGAAGGGGAAGGGGAATGAGAAGAGAAAAACTTATCTGACATCCTAGTTTCTACCAGAATCTGTCCTTTGTTTAAATTAGAGGCTTTCTGGCACTTGGCATAATGAATTATAATAATTGCATAAGTTTCAGTATTCTTCTACTGTACTGAGAGCACTGAGGACCAGGACTGGGCCTATCGTGATCACATTTGTAACTCCGGGCCTGAGAAGTAGTCAATTTATGCTTCAAAGAAAGAAGGCCATACAAAGACAAAGGCAAACACTATTTTGGGAAACCAAACGTGAAAATGTTAAAATTTTACTATCCATTTGAAATATTTATAATTTTTCTAGAATTAAAATATTTTGTAGTCTACTTCAACATCTATAACCAAATTATTTAGTTATTTTGATTTAATGTTTATGCTAACAAATTAGATCTTGTGGGGGATACTTATAATTACTGAATTATTATTCTAGGTATGAATATAGCAAACCTGACCAAATATTTGATGTTATTAACATAATAGTGCCCAATAAATAATGAATGAACATAATCACGTATTTGGTTGAGATGCTAGGCACAAGATCCACTTCCTATCCATCATTATACTCCCAGTTACTAGTGTTGTGCCTAAAACATAACATGCCAATAAACGTTTGCTGAATTTAGTTACATTATAAATCCTAAAACTTTTTTAAAACTAAAGGGATTTCTTAGGAAAGTATTCATCTGAATACTATTTAATATTGTTCAAAATCATTCCAACATAAAAGTTTAGTATTATAGAGTAGTTTAACAATAAATAATTATATTAAAATCAAAGCGTGTTCAAACATAAACTCTGAAGCTTAATTCAAAGTATACAATAATCCCACCCTCATTCACAGGGGTATGTTCCAAGACCCCCAGTAGGTGCCTGAATCTGTGGATAGTACCAAATCCTATAGCTACATGTACTATATTTTTTCTATACATAAATACTTATGATAAAGTGTAATTTATAAATTAGGCACAGTAAGAGATAGACAACAATAACAACAAAATTGAACGATAACAATATACTGTAAATATATATATACTTTAATAAAAGTTATGTAAACGTGGTCTCTGTCTCTACCACAAAGTGTCTGATTGTACTATGCTCACATATTTTCAGACCTTAGTTAAGCACAGGTAACTAGAATTCTGGAAAGCAAAATGTGGATAAGGGGGAGACTGCTATACCAAGTTATATCTGATATCTCATTGAAATTGATTCTTATTTTTAGAGTAGTAAGACTATGATTGTGAGGGCTTGAAATTTTCAGTATGGCTTACTGCTATGTTATAAGAGATCTGTTGGTTTTAAAACAAACATACCAACTTGTATAGCAAGTAACCAATGAGATATAAACCATCTTGTGACAAAAGATGTTTCTATTCATTTACATGTGGACACTGTGTAAAGATATGCTTTATTTTACTTATTTTGTTTTTCTGAGAGAATCTTGCTCTGTTGCCAGGTGCCAGGCTGGAGTGCAGTGGCGTGATCTCAGCTCACTGTAACCTCCGCCTCCCGGGTTCAAGCAACTCTCCTTCCTCAGCCTCCTGAGTAGCTGGGACCACAGGCATGCACCACCACGCCCAGCTAATTTTTGTATTTTTTTAGTAGAGAGGGGGTTTCACCATGGTCTCGATCTCTTGACCTCGTGATATGCCCGCCTCGGCCTCCCAAAGTGCTGGGATTATAGACGTGAGCCACCACGCCCAGCCAAGATATGCTTTATTAAAATAAGTGCCTATGAAAAAGAAATGTTTGTAGCTAAATACAAAAAATATTTATTTTAATATTTAACATAGCTTTATAATATATCGCAAATATAAAATTTTAAATATAATTTTGTAAATAAACTCTAGGCAATTCTCACATTCCAAAGTATACCTTAAATGAAATAATACCTTTAAAATATTTAGCTAATTTCAATTGAGAAAGTTACTATTTTAGATATCTCTTATAAAATACATTTACAAATTTATTAAACAGATATGAAAATACAAAACTGCATCATATTTTACTTGAAGTAAGAGAGAAGCTTGTGATAACTTTAAGTAAATGCCTATTTTAAGTACATAAATTCGAAAAAAATCTAGGAACTACTAATGCAAGTTACACAGAAATGATACTTTGGTTTCATTAACTTAGAGCTTGGGTAGGGATGCGGTTGGAGGGGGTAGGCACATTTACAACGATACATAAAAACAGCAATTGTCTTAATTTGTGTGCAGTGCACTCCACACAAAAGCCCTAAATATGTTCAAATTAGAGCAAGCTGCTTGATTGTCACTGCAGTCTCATGTCACATTAATGCATGACAAACATTAAACCATACACTTAAATGGCAATTTATATCATTTAAATGTTTACTGCCAGACTAGCTCATCACTCATTTAAATGTGACTTTCTGACAGCTAATTTCAGTTAATTTTCTCCAATTCACTTAATTAGAACTTTCAATCAGGGAAGGACCTATACATATCTTCAAGCTTACATCCTTTTTGGTGGCTGTTTGAAATCTGAGTTCATAAACTGCTGAAAAGCTCTACTATAATAGATTAGCATATAATATCTCTGAGTTTACAAAAATGTATGACTATATGAAGCAAACTCACAGTATATACTCTTAGAATCTAAGAGTATTTATTTACATAAATAGTACTCTCGCCAGTAGTTTAAATAAAAAACGTTTAGTTCATATACGCACACTATTGAAACAATAAAAAAAACCCTGCATCCAAGCTAATTAAAAATTAATGATTTCAAAATTGTTTAATAAGATAAAACAGTCAGGAGTCTCCTGAGTGTCCATGGTGTTGTGATTTGAGACCATAAAATTCTAGAAGGCTCAGCAAATGACAAAGTACAAATGAATTTTCTCAATATTAAAGCTCCAAAAACTAGGGCAATTTTATTTTATGTGTCACCAAACAAAGAACTGTTGAGTTTTCCTTATGGGTGACTACTCCTTTATGCACACTAAAAATGGTAAAGTTGGTTAGATTTCGATGCCTAAAGCTTTACATCTTGATACTGCATCAGAGTTTTTAGCAAAAATGCTGAAAGGAAAGATACTGTGTGCTCATATCATGCTGCAAACACACATGCAGAGATCACCACAATGCCATGGTTCAGACCTCGCTTTACATTGTCACAGGTCAGTCCTTAAGGAGTTTACCAGTAATTCGTGGAACTATTGGCAAAATCACTTCCAGAGGTTGATAAACATGTTACCTTCATGAGTAAACTTTAAATAATTTCTCAAACCCTCAACTAAAAATTCTATTAGTCAGCTTCGAGCATTTCTTGCAATATACCAATGCTGTTAAAAGGGACCTAAAAGAACAATGTGATAAGTATAACAGAATTCCAAGAAGTTTCAAAGTTATTTCAGTACAAAGTCAGTTCAGAACTTTAACATCCTTTTGCTATCAGTGAATTACAATTGCCTAATCAGTAGTAGGTAAATGCACTTAAGGCATGAGGGAAGAGAAAAGGACAGGCAGGAAGAAATTAAGGAAAAAAAATACAAACAGAAGAAAATTCAAAATGGGATACCCCGAGGTTGCCTTTTATAACTCCCATTTTTAAGATCTAAAAACATATATCATAAAACCTATATTAAATCCCTTTTGTATATATTAAGATTTTAAAAAATATTATTCATATATATAAAATTCTCATTTAGATCCACATTTTTAGTCACAAAAAAATGAAAACATGCCAGTGGAATGCTGAGTATTTAAGATTTTTCAAAGCCTTCAAAACCGACAGTCCTCATTAAGCCTGGAGTTAAATATGGTTTGCAGCTAGGGGATAGTAACATTCTTCCCATGCTGCTCTCAAACCTAACCAATCAATTGTTAGTACTCCCCTAGCAGGCTGCATACATCATTTACATCCAATGTGTGCTCTGAGTAAAATTTGTAAAAAAGAAAATCCACTAAAATGTCCAACACAATACAATAATATTCAACTCATCTGAGTTATTATAAAATAAATCAGTGACTAATGTCCAATTGTTAAGGATCAAATAAGACCATGAAAAGACTATCATATGAAGCCTCACACAAATTGTCAACCCAATTCAGGGGGACTCATATTAGTGTTGACAAACTGTCTTGGGGCTGATATCTGTTTTTTTAATGAGATCTATTAGGCAAAGACTAAAAGACTTCAGATATGCTAAAAAGTACAGTACACAGACATCATATACACTTATTAGTAACTTTCATTTGTTTGGTCTGCATAAGAATATCAACAAATTAAAGCTTTAATATAAAGATAATAGTAAATTATTCAAAAACAGGTTTGTATAACTCTGTCACAAATAATTACAATATGTGTGTGTGTGTATATATATATATATATATACATATGTATGTGTCTGAGTGTATGTTTAGCAAATCTCACTGAAAAAACACAATCAATGTTTTCCTGAAACTAGCCTACTTAAGAAATAGATTATTTCTTTATGAAAAGTATTACATAAAATTATTGTTGCTTTCTATAGAGTCAAAAAATATGATAACATATAGAAATAGTC